CTTGTGTAGCCTCTCTTTCGGCTTTCCTCTGTCTTTGATATCTCCTCCATTGAGAGTATGTCATGGGTTTTTTTCCCTTATAGTTGCTCGACACATGAGCCACTTTGTTTGTTGTTTGGAATTATTTTCTATAGGCCAAGGAGGATCCTCTTGGCACATAAAATGTTTGCCATTTTTCCTCGTTGGGCCTTTTCCTGCTTGTTGTCTTCAACCAGGTGTCCACACGAACATTTGTTGGAGGCATGAACATTGGTGGCCTATTCACCTGATTGATTGGCCCCTTTCGGTACCCTCTTCTAGGGTCATATCTCACCTCAGGATCCATGTTGGGTTGGGCATCGGTGCCCCATTTCTTCTTTTTTGCCCACATACCTTGTATGTGTTCAGCAACTTTTTTGTCGAAAATGGAGCTGCATCTTGGGCACAACATGACTTCCGACTTCTTTCACTGGCATCTTTGTAGAAAGTCTTCCAGATCTTCATTTTCTTTAGGAAATGCAATTTTGTTGACTTCCTCTTGTCTTATGGCATCTTTTGAATCCTTAGGTTCAGTTACGTCAACCATATTGATTTGCACATTGCTCTTATTATCTATATTTAGCTTTTGCATCTTGGCTTCTAGGCTCTCCGTCGAACCTGTTACAGCAGCCAGGTAGGAAACTGCAGTAGTTCCTTTGTTTGAACCTTCAGTGGCCCCTTTGTTTAGACCTTCAACAGTCTTTTTGTTTAGGCCTTCAGTAGCCTTTTTGTTTAGCATTTCGACAGCTCCTTTGCCATTATCTTTAGTGAAACTTCCAAAGACGGGTTTATGATGAAATTTGTTGAGACTTCGACCATGTTGATGCTGGAAGGTTCAACATAGTTGGCCTCAGCTTGGAATGGGTTTGAGTCAATCTTCATGGGTGGCTTGTCAGCAAACTTAAGCCTTCCATCTTTGATTGTGCCTTAAATGAGATCCCTGAAAAGAAAATATTGTGAGGTTTTATGTCCCAAAATTTTTTGATATTTACAAAAACCTCTCTTTTTTCCTTTGATCTAAAGGAGACATTTTTGCCCCAGGGGGCACTATCATCTGGCCATCTTTAACTAGCAATTCAAATATTTCGTCACATTTTGTGACGTCGAAACTATATATTTTCTTTGGGAACCTATCACTATTCTTTTCAGTTTCAATAGGATTTTTTTCCATTTGCGGGCGTTAATAGTCTGCAAGAGTATGGTGGCCCTTGCTTTAACTCTGCTAAATATATCTCGATCTCTTCGACAATTATAGGATCATTAGATGTCTCTGGATCGTCATTATCCCTTTCGACATATGCTACCCTTTCTCTTTGATGGTTCTTATTTGCCTTAGTTTTTTCAGCCTTAAGGCGTTCCACCTGTCGAACTCTACCGGCCAATTGGGTCATATCTCTCAGGTATTAAGTATCTAATTTCTTCCTAATAGAATAATCTAGACCTCATGCATCTATTTCGACTAACTCATGTTCAGGGACTTGTGTAAAGCATCTGGCCTTGAGTAATCGAAATCTGTTCAGATACTTGTCAATTGGCTCAGTGAACCTCCTTTTCACACTAGCCAATTATTTCAAACTTATTTTGGTTTGTCCCATATAGAACTGTTCATGGAATGATCTCTCCAACTGATTCCAATTGTGGATCAAATTGGCTGGGAGTGTAGTAAACCAAGTGAAGGAATTTTTGGTCAAGGAACTTGGGAAATACTTAATCCTAAGATTCTCATTATTCAAAATTTCCCCAGCCTCTATCAAATACCTTGCTACGTGTTCGACAGTGGACTCTTTCGTATCCCCTGAAAATTTGGTGAACTTTGGAACTTTCCACCTAGGAGGTAATTCTGATTGCAAGATATATTCTGACAATGGATATGTAAAGTTTGGCCTATGAAAGCCAATGTTGACTCCATTTTGTGCCATGATTCTCTCAACCATGGCTGTCAAGTTATTATCTAGTGCATAGTTATGGTGTCGAACCTGCTGTACTACTTCGTCAGCATTGTGGTTTCTATTTACCATAACTATACCTTGTTCGACAACTCTAGGGATTTATGGAACAACCCTGGGTATTTCGACTCTAGGTTGTTCGATTTCCACTCTATGGTTTATCCCCTCTGATTGTGAATTTTGGTTAATGGTCATATCATCCTCTAAGACTACACCTTGATTTCCTCTTATGAACTCTCTTTGGGGTTGTCGAAGAGGTTGGAGAAACCCAAAAAATTCATCCATGCGCGTCATCTGTGTTGTCATTTGCTGATTCGACTGGGTGGTATTTTGTATTAGAGGGTTAAGCATTGTACTCAATGTTTGTGCCAACATTTGCACCATGTCATGGTTGCTTTCATCCATTTGTTGCCTCAAAATTGCTGTAGAAGCATTTGTGAGGCTTGACATCATGTGGGATGTTCCTGTTCCTCCCAAGAATTGGTTCCTACCCAAATTTGCCATACCAGTTCTAGATCCCTGCAATGGTGAAGATGCACTCACCAAAGGTTCTGAAAATATGGACGAAACATTCACCAAGCTTACCATTTCAGTATTTGGTATGCCATAAGGTTGTTCTTGATCCATCCAGGTCGTCGAAAACCCTGGAGGGACGTAGGGTCAAACCCCTAGATTTCCCCTTGGTGGGGGAGTTTATGGTGGACCCCTGGGATCTACATAAGAAAGTATTGGTCCTGTTTGTGTAGCCTTCAACGCTGGTGTCCAACCAACTGTTGATGGCATAGGCTCACTAACTGTTGACATAGCAGTATTTCCAATGCTAGAAATTGGTGAAGGCATTTCTTCACTACTAGATGGATTAGCCATTTTACTATTTCTTCTCTTAGGTACGTATTCGTGAGTGGTTGTTTTTCCAATTCTCAATAACATACAACAATCTTTGAAAGAAAAGAAATTACTTGAAGCATAAAAACTATTTTTATCAGAGTTTGTAAAACAAGAAAACTTAGCAACGTCCCACCAGGTGTGCCAATTTGTTTACCGTGAAAATTGATAAACAACCGCTGATCTTCCAAAAAGGATTATTTTGGTGACTTGTAGGATCGATCAGAGTGATCCTAGAACATATGCTAAGTTATTTCGTAAGTTTAATAAATTTAAGTGAAAAAGGTTAAGGAGAGAATTAAGGGCAGAGGAAAGATGCAGACGAAAACTTGATAAAAGTGCAAGTAAAAAGTAAGTAGAAAGGGGTTGAGAAGAGTTTAAGGATAAAGGTTGAAAAATGATAACAAGTGCAAGTAAAGACGAGATAGAGTAAATTTGCAGTAATGATAAAGTTTGCAAGGAGATGTAAATGGCAAGGAATGTAAAGGAATTGTAAAGACTTTGATTGAAATAAAAGATGGTGTTTCAAACGTACATTGTCAACACCTTTTCTCTCACAGCGGGTACTTGGATATATTTGAGTAACTTGTACAATATGTTGAACACACTGAATTTTTACATAAACCTCTTATATTTATACTGTAACTAAGTAACCGTCGAGCAGTTGCCTCGTTCCAGAATGAGGACAAATGTCCTATGCACGTGTTTCGACCTCTATCTTTATGCCACGTTGATTTCCTCAACTGTCGAGTGAACTGCCTTTTCCTCCTTTTCTTCAGATTCAAAATTACTCGCTTGCTGATACGAGAACCTTTTAGTCGAAGGCCACGAGAGTCTCTCAGTCGAAAACCAACTTTAACTTAGAAAATCCTCTAAGTGTTTTCTCCTTCTTAGCAAGGGAGACTTCGACACAACCTTTTTGTTACAAGCTATTCTGTCGAAGTATTTTCAATTTAGATTTGTTCAATCTATTTTTTTGGCCAATAAAACCAATATGTTGTGGATGTAGAATTTAAAACTAACAGTGGTATGAGATGAAATAGAACGAAACTATATTGTTTGAATTAATTAGAGTCAAATGGAGCATAGTAGAATGAAGTGGTAATATTTTTATATCATTTCATCTCTTATCACTATTTTTCTTCTCCTCCAATTTAGCAAAAATGAGAAATTTGATTTTGTAAAATATCTTAACAATAGAATATAATTTGTTCCATTCTATTTGATTCCATCCATTAATTAAATATAAAAGTAAGTTGATTAGTTAGTTAGAATGTATTAAAGTTGGTTATAAGTTTATCAATCTCTTACAAACTCTATTTATAAAGCATCATCTTTTATCGTTTCAATAGTATAATATCATCTTTTATTTTTTTCAATGTAATATCTTCTTTTATCTTTCCAATATATTGTAGTTGAGGTTTTTTCTCATTTACAAACTATCTATTTTCTAAAATTACTTTCCATCATGATTCTATGATTACGTTTTCTGTACTATCCGTCTTTATAATAGAACACATTGTGTCTTAACACATTAGTCATTTTGTTTTTGTCAACTCTTTTCTCATTAAACTTGTAATTTTCATCTAATCCTTCTATTTAATAAATATGATTACTTTTTTCTGTCTAGCATAGTAAAAATCATGTCTATGACTGTAGAGAAAAAACAGTAGCATGTGCATGAAAAGTAAGTTTTTGAGAAAGCATTGTCACCTATATAAGTTGGTCATTGTTCCTCCAACCTTAATGGAACATAAAAAACTTACTCAAAGTTCAACATGGGTCAAAGTTCAATATGGCTTAGAAAATACTTAAGTTCTAAATTTGTGATAATTAATGGAACATAAAAAACTTACTCAACTTAAATAAATTGACTCTTTATCAACATTGAGCTTTCAGAAAGTGATCAAAGTATTAGGGAGAAATATTAACTTCACAAAGTGAGACATTCATCCAATGATCAAAGGTCATTGTGATACTCAAAGAAAGGCACCCAAATTAACCTCACAAAATGTTACTTCATATCCACTCTAAAATTAAATCGGACCTACAACCATGTTTATCAGACAAGTTTATAACACCATTTTGCCATAATATCTCTATATAAACATTTGTGAGATCACTTTTTCATAACAAGAACTAAGACAAAACATGGGTTTTGTCAAAATTCTTTTGCTTTGTTTATGTGTTGTGGTGACATTGTTTCCTCAACTTGTAGTGTGCATAACAAGGCACTATACATTTAATGTATAATAACTAAACTCATGCATGCAATATTAAGTTTATTTGTATTATTATTTTCCTATGTTACACTCTTAATATTTCTGCCTTATCTTTTTCATGTTCAAGATTGAGTACATGAATGTTACAAGATTGTGCCACACAAGAACCATTCTTAGTGTGAATGGGAAATTCCCTGGACCTCGTTTAGTGGCAAGAGAAGGTGATAGAGTTTTGGTCAAAGTGGTTAATCATATCTCAAACAATGTAACCATTCATTGGTATGTACATATACATCTAGTTGGTTTGGTTTTAAGTTGCACTCCCCAACCGCGTATATAAAGTTTTTTGAGATCTCTGCAATAATATTGCAGAGACCTCTAAAATCTTTGGATTGCGGCTGCAGTTGAGAATATGTTGTGATCTTGGAATTTTTTTTCAGGCATGGAGTCAGGCAGAAGACAACTGGTTGGTCTGATGGACCAGCATATGTTACACAATGTCCAATTCAAACCAACCAAACATATACATACAACTTCACCATTACTGGACAAAGAGGGACCTTGTTTTGGCATGCTCATATATCATGGCTAAGAGCAACCCTTTATGGACCTATCATCATTCTCCCTAAGCATAATGAATCTTATCCTTTTCAGAAACCACATAAAGAAATCCCCATTCTTTTTGGTAAAGTTAATACTTATAGCTAGACTCTACGGTTCTATTCGCGGTTGAAATTGTAATTGTTATATTGCTACGAGCTTTAATATTACACGAAAAATGCAATTGATATGGTCACAATTGCGGTTGCAATATGGTTACAGATACCTCTGAAAAAATCATATTACGGCCGCAATTGTGATCTATCGGGCCGGATATTTATATAGTGATGTAACTTGCATAGTTGTGTGATTTCAGGTGAATGGTATAATGTTGACCCTGAAGCAGTTATAAATCAGGCACTGCAGACAGGAGGGGGACCAAATGTTTCAGATGCATACACCATCAATGGTCTTCCAGGACCATTCTATAATTGTTCCTCTAAAGGTATAAAAACAACTCGGAGTAGCAGAGTTCGAATTCTGGTGATGACGTCTAATCTAATAATATCGATTTTTGTCAGTTGACAATTACTATTCATTCATCTATGATAAGCCACTAATTCTCTCATTTTTGTATTCATGTGTTTGAAGATACATTCAAGCTAAAGGTGAAGCCAAACAAGACATATCTACTAAGGATAATCAATGCGGCACTCGATGAAGAACTCTTCTTTAGCATTGCAAATCATTCCTTAACAGTTGTTGAAGCTGATGCTAGATACACAAAACCATTCAACACAAACACAATCCTCATCACACCAGGACAAACCACAAATGTTCTTCTCAAAACCAAATCATATTTTCCCAACACCACTTTCCTCATGGTTGCTAGACCTTATGTAACAGGCCTTGGCACATTCGACAATTCTACCCTTGCAGGTATCTTGTATTACAAGCAACACAATTCTTCAATAAAAAATCTCCCTTTTCTGAAACCTATAATTCCACAAATAAATGACACAAATTTTGCATCAAACTTCTCAAGAAAATTCAAAAGCTTAGCCGATTCTAAATTCCCTATCAATGTACCGAAAAAAGTCGACAAAAAGTTTTTCTTCACAGTTGGATTAGGAACTAGTCCTTGTCCAAAAAACACAACATGTCAAGGTCCAATCAATAACACAAAATTTGCAGCCTCAGTGAGCAATTTCTCATTTGTTCTTCCATCAGTTTCTATTATGCAAGCATACTATTTCGGAAAATCGAACGGAGTGTACAAAACTGATTTTCCTGAAACCCCTTTGAACCCTTTTAATTACACAGGAACACCACCAAATAACACAATGGTTAACAATGGTACAAAATTGGTTGTGTTGCAATTTAATACTAGTGTGGAGTTGGTTTTGCAGGATACTAGTATTCTTGGTGCTGAGAGTCACCCTTTGCATCTTCATGGCTATGATTTCTTTGTTGTTGGACAAGGTTTTGGAAATTATGATCCTAATAAAGATCCTGCAAAATTTAACTTGGTTGATCCTGTTGAAAGAAACACTATTGGTGTTCCGGCTGGTGGTTGGGTTGCCATTAGATTTTTTGCAGATAATCCAGGTTGATACTTATGCATGCATGTCAATCAAATAATTAATGTGTGATTTCTTATACATATTGCATGTATTTCCGCATGTTAATATTTCATTTTCTGATTCATTGAATAACTGAAGATATCAGTTAAGTGAGACCAGTTAACTGAGGTTTTAGTTATTCAATGAATCTGAATATAAAATATTTGCCGAGTATGTCTTAATGACATGTGAATTTTTTTGGTGGCAACAGGGGTATGGTTCATGCATTGTCACCTAGAGATACATACAAGTTGGGGATTGAGAATGGCATGGCTTGTATTAGATGGTCAAGAGTCCAATCAGAAGCTTCAACCACCACCTTCTGATCTTCCAAAATGTTGACTTTGACTCACTCTTTTGTATTAAATGTAATTTTTTGTTCCATAATTAATTCATGAAAACAACATTTGAAATTCTTTTGAAGTGTTGAATAAGAAGTTGTTGTGACAACAAGGTTTGTTTGTCTTTGTCTTGATGTTGTTGTTGTTATCAAGTTTGGTTTGGTTGAAGAGAGATGAGCAGTTGATGAGTAATAGTCATAAGAGGGTTTAACCTTCTTGATTTAATTAATTAACTTCATAATTAACATTTGATTAGTTCGGTTTTGCTTGTATTGAAAGTCTTAAATAACCTATTTGAACTAATTAAAATGTAGGGTTACCATAGGGGGTTAACATCTGATTCTGATCTATGAGATTGATACCGAAGAAAGCATAATATCAATAAATGTAGGGCCACCATGTTTATCAATAGTAAATATGTCAAGTATGAGGCACTTAGGGATTTTAATCATTAGGAAGAATTAAGCTGATCATGTTAGCTATATAGATTTACTACTCCTTACAACTTTTACTAGATCATAAGTGCAGAAAAGTACTCCTCAAATTCCTGATCAATTGTCGGTTCCCTCGCACTCGATTCAGCTTCTGCATTCAAAACATTATCATATGAGATCTTAAGAGTTACTAACCAAAATTGTTTATCAAAGACATGTAATCCAAAAACTAATTTCACAAGTTCTGGCACAATCCTATCTTTATCACATATTTGCAGTGTAACGGGTACGGAATAACGCATACCTTGGTTTAGTAACAATACTCTCGATGAAAGAACATACTTGTCAGGATTCACGCCATTAGAAAAAAGAAAATCTTCAAATTCCTTATCTACCAATTGATCATCATTGCTATCTTTAACATTGTCTGAATATCCCAGCAGATGCTCCTCATATTTCTCCATCGGTTGTGTATCAGAATCATCATAGGATGAATTGTATTTGCTATCAATAAACGTTGCATCTTCGCTATAGCCCAGCCTATGCCTATTAGCTATCGATACATCAAAGATAAAATAAAGTCAAATTGTTTTCATATAAACTATAAGTTGTTTTCGTACGCAATTCTGAAGAGCTTATATAAATAATCTGAAAACAATTTATGAACATGTCATGAGCTGTTTCTTTAGCTCTTCATAACAATCTCACTAGAACTTCTTATGTCGGTAGATAATCTCAAATAAGTCAACCTAAACATATCTCTAAGTAACAAAAGAAGCGGAAACCATACCACAGAGGAACGTATTCGCACAATCTGCCTCGAGTTTGGCGTCTTCATTTACAGACATTGAAGTATCAGTGTCTTCCATAAGACTATTGCTGTCTTTGGCCGATTCGAGTTCAGATCTATCATCAACGTCCGCAGCATCCATTCTACTATTAACCGCATCATTGTTCGCACTCTCTAAAATCGGACTATCATCAATCATTGATTCATCTTCAGAAGAAACACTCTCAACCCAGCATTTATGTTTCGGTCTAAGCAAATCCAACTGAAAACCCTGCAGTTTTCTTTTCTTGCTCCATTTAATAATGTTAATGTCATGCATTTCATCCACCTGAAATCTAAAAAGAAAAAAAGAAAAATCATGACAATAATATACCTCAAACTAGAAAAGTTCAATCTTAAACTGAAAAAAACATCTATAACAAAACTAATTCTCTTTGTAATATAATAATTATATCAAATGAAAAACTAAATCACTAATCATAAAAATAAACTATGAAGCACACAGAGACACTACCGTCAGACATCAGACACGACATTAACACTGACAAGTCAACACTCATAATAATTTAAAAGAATTCAATGTAATTATAAGTGTCGGTGCTTATGAGAAAGAAAAAAAACAAAGCAGATCATAAAAAGCATAGATTTTCTTTAAAAATCTCCTACTTTAAGGTGAATTATCAATATTCCAGTACTAGCACAACATAATCATCTAGAAGTTAGTTAAACAATCAATGATTAAACACATCAAAAACAAGAAAAATGATGAAGACCCAAGATGAGAAAACCTGTTAACTTGAGAAAGGGTTTCTTTTCTTGGCTGAATCTCCATGAGTAAAACCAAGAACTTTTCTGAAATGAAAAAACAAAACAAGGTTATTGGGGTTGAGAGAAAGACCCTTTTGAAAAGAGAAAAAGGAAAGGTTAAAACTTTAAGGATGCCATGCTGAGAATATCCTAGAAGTTATGACCCTACAGTTTCCTCTGTCATGTTGTGGTTTGTTTTTCCAGTTGTGTTCATGGCGCGTGAGTTGCACGTTTTTGAGGTTTGAGCTTTGTAGTTTGGAGTTTGGAGCAAATTCACGTGGCCAAGTATGGTTGAGGATATGGTTCATAGACATACATACCCACTTGTTAGTTGTAAACATTTGATGTAGGCATGAGACTTCTTTATTAGAGGTGGATTTAATTTTAAAAATCACATGAACTACATATTTTAATTTCATTCATGTGATAAAATGGATCCGATACGTTGGACATGACCATTTTATTTGTATTGGGATAGGTCGAATGTTCATTCTACTTTGTGGGAGTGAATATCAAAATAATATTTTATATTTTTAAATTTAAAAGGTGGAGTGTCTGTTAGTCCGTCTCATTCTTATCCTTATTTTTTTAGTGCGGATTAAAGTTTTAAACTCGGACGTTCAATTTAGTTGTCTTGTTATGTTCTTTTTTTTATGTGTTTTTGAAAGATAAATTAAAATAAGGCGAGTATATTCGTTTGTCACCTCTATTTAATATTATTGTATAGGAAAAAATATATGGGCTTAAATGTATGTTTAACCCTTCTATTTTCATGTTTTTTAAGTTTTAGTCCTTCTATTTTAAATGTCAGTTTTCTGATCCTAAACTTTAGGGCATTTGAAATTTTTATGATACCCCTCTATTTTTACATATGTGAAATTGATGATTGTGATAAAAAAATTATTTTTAATTGTATCGGTGACTGTATTAAATATTAATTATTATTTTTTCTAATTAATTAATAATTTTAATTATGTTTTTTTAAACTAATTGTTGCACCCCAAAATTTGTCCTCCTAATTTCTTCTATCTGGCTTAGACTTTTGCATTCATCTGTATATATTCATTAGGTCATTAACACACATTTGTATTCGGAAGAGCTTGAGGTTCAAAGTTCAGTGGTCGTGCAATATTAGGGTTTCATAGCGGTTAAGGTGTTCGTATCCAATAAGGGCTGATTCTTTCTTATTCAAGCAGTGAGCAGTGAAATTAGGGTTTTGATATGGGTCATTGAGAATTTCTTTCTTCATCAAACTTCAAGGGCTATTATCCCTTCAATTTTATCAATGCCGGAGATTAGGGTTTACTTCCCTATACCAGGTCAAGAGAATCAGGGCTTCTCTTCATTTTGTTCGAGCTTGGTAGTGGTTCTTCAATGGAGGTTTATCGGACTAAAGTCTCACTTCAAGGCTACATTGAGCAATACTCTTCCCTTATTGAAGGTTCGTCATCATCTAAGGGCTACTTGCTTTATAAGTTGACTTCTTCCCAAGAGGCCTAAGGGGTTGAATCAAAATTTTCTTCTTTGATGAGCGATTAAGGATTGCTTTGGGTTTTTATCGAGTCCAGATATGTCTTGTTAATTAAGTTATGGGTCAGGAGCTTATTTAGCTTATTTTATCGAATGAAAGATGGTTGTTTCAAATGCAAGATGACTAGAATTTATGGATTCAATTGAGATTAAGGTTCATTGACCAAGCACGCCATTTGAAGTCAACTGAGATTCAACTTGTCATGAGCGCTTGAGTTGCATTGAGGATCAATTTAAGATGAACATGGAATAGAAATTTTCAATGTGATTCAAGGATAAATCACTTAACTTGCTTGAAGGATAAGATATATGCAAGAGATGTTACAAGACTTCTGGATAATTTTCCTAGTTATCATGTACTCATAATACAAGTGATTCATCAATTCGCTTTGCTTAGAATTTGGATTATGTTTGAGGTACAAAAATAAGATTTTGAACTTGTGGTTAAGGAAGGGATCATGATTCATTCAAGATGTATTTTGAGAAGATATAAGCATAAGAGAATAAATTCAAAGACAAGTGAATTAATTCGAAGTCTTTTTTCTTGATTCAACCATGGCTATTACAAAATCAAGAACTAGAACATATACACTTTCAACCACTCAAAATTCCATGAAAGGTGATAATTTCAATCCGACTCGTGAATGTGTTACAACAAAGGCCATAAACCAAAGTCATTACATCTATAAACCCCATTCAAATTCACCATTCAAATTCAAAACCATATGAATGTTCATATTTTCCAAAGCTTGAAATTCAAATGCAAGTCGGAGGGAAAGTATTCATTCAAATATTATTACATTTTAGGATACTACACCTAAGGTGATACAAAGTAAATTTCAAAACAGACCCAAGGAGAAAAGAGGGAAGCTTTGCAACATGCCCAATAAGGTTAGTTATGGGGACTTGCTGTTTTTGCTTCACAACTGGGTGGAAAATTCTATGTTGATACCATGAAGCAAATGGAAACTTCGTCAACTGATTGCAGGGTCTCCCATTGTGCATGTTCTGCCTTCTAATTGCTGGATAACCAGCTGAAGCTTTCTCATCCCGCATTTCAAATAGTCAATACCCTATTGCTTTTACTATGCCTCGGCATCCTGCACAGCTTCAGTTTGGATCTAACGGTATGCTTAATGATGGGGAGGGGAATTTGGCTGTAATAACTACGAGCTAGACAAAAAAAACTGCATAACAAATCGACATCACAGAAAAATCATAATTGGCAGCTCATCTTATGAAAAGAGAAATTCAAGAAAGAATATCAGAAGTATAAGCAGGATAATAAATCAGAACGAAGGCGTAAACATTCTCCAGCTTAGTGAATAACCAAAAAATCAGGGACTCAACATGTCAGAGTTTATAGCTCAGCATCAATCAGATCTCGACCATCCATATATAACAGAAAATCAAAACCAAAGGCCCAGATTTATTCAATTCCTTCTAACTTCCTAATAGATCTCTAATCTTCCAATTTTTAACAGGGAAATAGCATAACAGAATTGCCAAATAGAATTCTAAACTTCCTAACTAACCATTTTTCTTCTAACAGAAAACAGAAACAGGGCGAAATAGAATGTAACAAGATCCAAGCTGCCTCCTAACTGTTTTATAACTCAATCCCTTAACTTCTACTCTAACCAATTCCTAACTAACTTCTAACAGCAACAACAGAATTATAAAAAATAGAAACTCACCTTGGTTGAATTCATTCGGAAGGATCACAGAAAACTCTCTCTGAAATCTCTCTCCAAAACTCAGCTTCCATTCTTCAATCTTCTAGAACAGAGCTTCAATTCTCTTTCTCCCTCTGAAATTCCTCTTTCTTCCATCATCATTCTTCATTATGTATCTTCATCCTCTAAAAAACAGAAAATATCTCTCTCTATCTCTCAGCCTCTTCGACCTCCTCATCACCATCTTCAGCTCTCTCAGATTTGTCTTTATTGTCACCTTCTTCCATCTTTAAGAATCGCCTCTCCACAACTGATTCTTTCCACTGCTTCAATCCGTAAATCGCGTGTTCATCATCATCATCATAACCGATTCTTCAGATGTTCATCAGTGATTCTCTTTAACCTTCATCATCGATACTTATATCTTCATTAATACTGTAAATCACAGTTCTTCACAAGGCATACACATCGCACATCTGAATGAGAGAGATGCAAAAGGGTTGAATCAAGAGGATCACGAAGAAGATTCGAGGATAAACGAGTTTATGGGGTGATGCATACCCGATTCTCCTCTCGCATAACTTTCTTGGATTTCTCGACACCGGCATCGTTGTTGAAGAAATTCCGGATTTCTCCGGTAGGTAAATCTCTTTTACTCACTACTATGATTATTTGTTCTGGTTGAAAGTGCAAAACGAATCACGAATGGAAGCGGAGGAAACAAAACCGCAAGCGTTGAGATGAACAGAAGGAAACAGTGATGGACAATAGATCGTCGCGGTAAAGGTTAATTAGGAGGTTTGGCGGAGGTATTCACAGTGATGACTAAGAGGCATCAGAAGAGATGAGGTTCGTGGCGCGTTTTGTTGAGAAGGGGGAAGAATTTTGATCGTGGAAGCTGAAACGCCACACATCGTTCTAGGTTTAATTCAATTTCTTTTATTTTGTTTTAATGAAGAATTTAAGGTAATGAATTGGAGCTGATGATGATAGGGCCCTGGACCGAATCACATATGTCCTTTAGGCCCGTTTCTATGCGTTTTTGACGCTATAAGCCTTGGTTGTAAGTAAAAAAAACAGCTCTTGGACTGCTTTCACGATGGGCCTTCAGCGCCTTATGTTGTTTCTATAATACCACATGTTTCCGGCCTGCACTCCCCATAGTCCATAACCTCCTTTTTTTGGCAGCCTGGTCACTTATGACAAAAACGGCTATTTGGGCCATACTGCCGAGTTTAGAATCAGGATCTGGATTTCTACTGCACATCCTGTTTATTGGCTTGCACCCTCTGGATTTATTCTCTTAGTATTTTATTTTAATTGATTTTGGGAATTGTTTAGATTTTCTTGAACTTTTTCATTATATGATAAAAATAATTAAATAAAATATAAAAATTTGTTAGATTTTTTTTATTTGATTTTAGGAATTAATTCATGGTTATTCGATTATTCGAAATTTGTGATGCACCTTGGCTTATTGAGATTTGAGTCTTATACAGGTTTATTGTGTGATATGCGGATGTGCTTGAGATTTAGATTGTGATTTATTTTCACATCGATGATGCTTCGACACTTATTCCGAGCATTTGATTTCTAACTCTTTTCTTGATTTGTGAAGCTTTCGCAAAGATCGTTGGGTTTCTTTGTTTTGATACGCCTTGCTACAGATTGATATTTGTTTGGTATTTTCTCTCGTTTATCTCATTTCAGCATTTACCGCTTTCTAGATATCATGAGAAGTGGGAAATAAAGAGCATGCGGTCGAAGTCGTTGTATAAAGACCTGTAGCAGGCATTACGCACTTCATTTACTATATGTGTTGTGCTTATGTTTGTTTACTTTCTTGTTGATCGATGAGTCACTCAATGTAGAAATTGAGATCACGACTTCGCTCTCAGCGCATGCTCCCTATAGGATTTTATCGCTTTCCTTTATTTCTTGTTGATCGATGAGTCACTCAATTTAGAAATTGAGATCACGACTTCTCTCTCTTTACATGTTCCCCATAGGATAGTTTTGTTAGACTTTCTTTGGTATACTAGCCTAGGTACGATCTCTCTAGTTGTGCTATCTTGAGCTAACTCTCTTGAGTTTATTGGTTTGCTTGTTTGATTTCATCTTTGTGTGCATGTTTCGAGGTGATAGACCCTTGCTATGCTTCTTTAGGACTTCTTGATTCATCTATAGATGATGAGTTGAGATAGACATTAGGA